ATGAATAGTGTTATGATGTTCGTTATTAAATTGGAAGTATCACGGTATTTGTTGCATTTCTTACTCTGATCGCCGTCGACTGAACTCCGGCAGCGTAGATATATTTTATTATTTGACGTTTTACTGTGTGGTACGGCTGAGTATGTTTGCGAGTTGTTCCTTGTTGTGACGAGCCCACAGGGCAAGTTGAAATACAAACTGAGGTGTCAAATATAGTTGCAAAGAATAAGCGGAGTGATACGTATCTTCCGTGACCACCAAACAGCCTATTGGGGAGTGGCGAATCTCGCTATCTCCCCGGGGCACACTCATTCAACCAAGCCACAAGAAACGAGATGAAAATTGGGAGTCTTTTAAATAAAAACAATTCGTAAAGGAGACATGTTGAAGTCCATGGACTGATTTTTATCTTCCATCTAAACCGTAAACACCCTAACATCAGTACAGTATGTATGTTCTCTATACTGTTCTCTGCGCATTTCCTCTGGTTATGAAAAGGATGATTTTCTTGACAATGACAGCTTATTAGGTAGGGGATCATTTCATCTATTCTCGTGAACTTAACAAATGATCCAGCAGTATTTCTATGAGGAGAAATTAGATGCTGGTCACTCGCACGGTCGAAGGGGTTATTGTTTTGTATGCATTGCGTACCTGTCTTCTAGTGTCTTGTGTCCAGTCCACTCGCGTAGAAGAATACAAACATGGTATAAATGTCCAGCTGAGAAGCCTTCATCGAAGAAGGAGTGCCATTTCAGTTCATTGCAATGGAAATCACCGAAACCTGGACGATACTAGGTGAGTTTATTTATTCCTTTGAGTCGGTACCGGTGTATCAAACCACCTCTTGTCAGTAAATGGGTGATACATCTTCTGTGCGGACTGTCGATCACTGGCAGACCGGCCCTGCTAGTTGCAAATAAAGTTGTTCCTCTGGATGTAAGGTGCTTTGAAACTCTGACTTGTTAATTTTACAGTAAATTCTCTTACTCTTTCCTTTTTTTTTCTTTTTTTTTTACACCGGTTTAGTATTGAAAATTATTTCTTAGCCAATGATACTATTTTATCTTATTTTTCGTTAAAACACGTACAGTAATTGTAGGTTTAGGAAGGTTATGAAAGAAATTATCAGTTCAGATTTGCAACTTTCTACTGTCTATATCTGTCGGCATGGAGAAGTCATGATGTTTAGTCTTTCCCTTTTTTTCGAGCCGAGGCATTAAACGGAGTTTACCTTTCACGAAAATCTGTCCTAAACATCTCTATAGATTCTGTTCATCACCACTGGCTGGCCCCACTGTCAGAGGTGCCAAGTGTCAGATTTGATTGGTTACACGTTTGTTTTAGGCCACATTTTGTACTGGAGACTACTTAGTTTGATTAACACTTTTAACTTGCAAATAACTATCTACTTGATAAGGGTTTTGGGTTAACTATTTTAATTAAGCTCCCAAGGCAGACTCTAGTAAGCACCCACCTCCCCTAGGCCATAATGTTAAACAAGTGCTCATCTCCAATAAGTGCCTCCCTCCTCTATCAGTTTCTTAAATAGATGAAATTTTAAGTGTACGTGTGTTCAACTTGATATCTCGTGACTGACTGAAACAGATGAGTGAGATGTCACATTGAACTATAGAAATGCTACAGCTACAAGCATTATAAACACCATAGGCCTTAACTGGCAATTAAGAACACTTGACAAATTACCTTGGATTGAGAATAGTGATCACTTAGCATTTATCAACCTAACAGAGGAGGGGAAAGACAAGTGATGATTTGGCAACTGATTGGTGATCAATCGAACATGTTAAAAAATTATCACAATTTTACTTGTGTATGGGTATGGGTTTTCTCAGGGCTGAAATCCTTCAAAACAATACAGTTTGTATAAGCAGTAAAATGATATAATGATGGGACTTTGTGGTCCAAAACTTCGTGACTAAAGACGACCTGTTGTGAATATACCGGTAATAAAATTTCAGGTTTGTTGAGTGCATACAAGGCAGGGCTCGACACTAACTTTTCAACTTACTAACTAAGTGGCTGGGGACATCTTAGATGTTATGACAATTTTAGTTTGTTTACGAGCCAAACTGGCTTGTGGAAGTAAAAAACCACCAGCCAAAACTGAACTTCTACTTGTCTGTGGCCATAGTTTGCTACCATTAGTGGCAAGCCCGGCAAGGGCTAAATTAACAGATACTTGGAACTTTGGTAGTGATACAAACAACTGTTTGAGGAACTCTCATTTTACATGGATGTTATGAATTTTCCAGGCTGTTGGAGGTGATATTTTCAATGACCAGTTAGATTAAGATACTGATATTAAAGATACTGATATTAAAGATACCACTTTTATCTGAAGGCAGAGTAATTTTTCTTTTAACTCTTAAACTCCCATAAGTGACCAAGGCAGAACTTCTCATTACAATGTCAATGCAATGATCGAGCAGACATTAGGGAGGAGAATAAAGAATTATATCAATTCAGGGATTATAAGTTGATCCAATGACAAATTCTCCAAACCAACATCATAAGAATGGTATGGCAGACATTACTAAAATAAGATTTCGGGAGTGAAATGGTTAAGATGTGATAGAATTTCACTTTGAATGAAAAGCTGTCATATTTCTAAACTATATAACTCATGAAAATTACATGGCCTTTTTTTTCCCCATATATTTGAAAGTGAATATTGAAAATGATTACCGTCCTTCCACTTTTCATGGATCATTTGATATGTTTCACAGGTTTGGTGTTATTTTCCTTGATGGCTAGAGCCACATTTGCACTGGAAATTGGTAAGTTGCAATGTTGTGTGTCCTCCGGAAGTACAGACAACTGAAGATAAATAAACCTACAGTACTGTAATGATGTCATGTTATCTAACTTTAAGATCAAAGGGCAGACATCAAAGAGTTCATCCTGGCTTGTTTCTGTAACATGAACTGGCTACCAAGTTTATTTAGTTCCGCTCAACCAAAGTAAATTATTATATTATCCTGACTGTTGGGTAAAAAAAGGTAAAGTCTGCGCTCAAACCAAGTGACCCACTGAGTTGGAGACTGTCCCGGTTTCCTCAGCATCAAGGGATTAGGAGTATTGCTACCCCCCTGGATAGATTGCCAGTCCATCCCATGGTCCTCTCCTCCCTTAAGTATTTCATCAGGCTTCCCTGACAATTTGCCCGTACCTATTCATATTCTGGGTGGAGAGAGGCAATGTGAGAGGAGCAAAATGTTTGCTCAAGAGCACAGCGTATTAACATGGCCAGTTTTCAAACCCATACTTCTTGGCCCAGAATCCAGCATGCAGCAGCCATTAGGCCTCTGCCTCCTGCCACGAGTTTGGTGGTAATCTCTTTAAAACTTCTGAGGGGAGGGGAGGGTAGTGCTGTGTTGGTTAAGTGTGGGGACCCAAGAGAAATTTCCACCTTAATATATATACTCAGTAAACATTTTATAGTATAGGGTAGAAATGGCAAACAAAGCAGTAATTAACAATTATTCCATGAGCATGCATTGGAGATGAGATGATAGAAAGCCAACGAGGTGCTATACGCCTCGTTGGCTATAATCATCTTATATCCAACAAGCGTGAGTGGAATAATTGTTTTATTAAAAACGTTAAATTAAATTATTCAATTTCATTAAATTTTTTAGCTCCCTTTTAATTTTAAGCTGACGCTTAGCTTACCATTATTGTAGATTATGGTATATTGGCTCATATACCATAATAGCTAAGCCAATAAAAAGTCTTGAATTGCATTATCCAATGATCCAGTTTTTAATAATGTCTATTATGACACAGTTTGAAAGGTGATGTACCAGTACCCAAATTCAGAAGCTCTCCTGTTTGGTTGTATAATGACTTCTTAAACCCTTAAACTCCCAGAAGTGATAAACACATAACTTCTCCCTATAATATCCATACATTAGCTAACAATCAGATAATGAGATTTCTCAAACATATCAGTTAGGTGTTGCAATCTTGATGTAAAACCAAATTCTTGAAACTAACTTACAAGGAAATGTGTGCCAGCTAGAGGGGGGATTTGACAGTCAGATTTTGGGAGTTCACTTCCTACGGCATGGTATAGGATTGTGATGCAACATTTTGTTGTGGTATGCGGTGGAAGGTTTTCTTAAAATGCACTCTGACCAAAAGGCCTATGTGTACACCAAGAAATTACAAGTGGAATGTTTTGTATTACACAGCAAGAGAGGGTTTGCTTCTCAGTTATGTACTACTTTCTTCCTTATTTTGTCTTGCTAAGTAGGTGTTAGGCATCTTAGTTTACTACATAGTTTCTCCAAACGGAGTAAATACTGCATTACCTTGAATAGGTGCCCTGCTACTTATTTAAAATGTCAGCTTAAAGGAGGTTGATTATTGGAAGGGGATCACTTAATCTAGGTCGACACTTGTTAAGAAGCTGTTATCCTGTACTGACTTTGCTGTCACTGAAGCCTAAAAAGTAATAGATAAAGTGGCAATCGAAACGGGTTCTCCTTGTGTCCGCACTATTTGATAAAGTTAGGGGAGGGGGAGGATGGGGTGTTTGTTCGTTCAAGAAGGTTGTGTGTTAGACACTATGGCCAAGGGCCGCGGGTGTGGGTGCTTATTCGGGGGAGGGCCCCTGTTAGAGTGGGTGCTCATTCAAGGTAGCACAATATTGAAATGTTTCTCTAAAACGTGTGTAAATTCTATTTGCAGCAAACAGCTCTACGGAGGTTTGTTTTCCTGGTAACATCAATAATAACAACCTGAGATTGAATGGCTTAAAGGGAAGTTTTCAAAGTTCTGAGCGCCCCCTCGTAAATTCAAGCTGTGACTGGCTCATAACTGTTCCAGAAGGGAAAATTATAAAACTTGTTTTTGGTAGGTTTTCTCTTGATTATGATCGATCTCCTGGGGGATGTCCAAGAGACTTTCTGGAGATTTATGATGGGAATAGCAGTTCTAGTGAAAGAAGAGGCAGATTCTGTGGCCTCGTAAAGCCAATGAACATTTATTCAACTGACCGATACATCTTGGTCCGACTCAGAACAGATAATGAGTCGTCGTTATGGAACCCTGGATTTACGGCCACATTCACGGCCGAGGAAACATATGGTATGTTAGAATATAATATCAGTAGGGAAGTTCGTTGATAGAGTACATTTCGATTGAGAGTGGGAAAACCAAAACCAAAATCATCACAATGGCCAATCAGATGAAAGGAAAATACCTTAAGAGCCAATAAGAACCAAACTTCCTAAAGCGCGAGAAAACGCGGCGACCAAGTCGTGAATTGATTTAGTTTTGGTTGAGAGAGTGGCGCCAATTTTCTGGACCAGGCACTTAGCGGAGTAAAGCAAAGAAGCAATCCTAGTTTTCTTTCGAACTCGATTGTAAATTGCTCTTACTGGGTTAGTTCGTTGTAAGTATAGGTAAGCCGCTTGTAGGTATATCTTGGCAAAATAAACTTTGTTGATGTATCGAATCGACATCAGTTTGTAGCAGGTTGTATTGACATGTATCGAAACGACTTTGTATCGAAATGACTTTGTATCGAGGTGACTTTATATCGAAACGACCGGACTCCGTTTATTCAATCGACTTTGATCATGACTTCCCCTAAGGTTAGTATGCTAATGATTCCTAGGGGTCATAAGGTCGATAAATTGCTTAATTCAAGAGAGTTATTAACGTACGCTAAAGAGGCAAACTAAGTCAAACATAAATTAAAGCAAATTTTGAAGTGATTTTTCTTCTTTTCCCACGGTTTTAGTTTGTCCGTATCATACCAAAGTGCTTTTCGTCTCGGAATCCTCCAACAGAACACTCACGAGTCCAAATTACCCTTCGCAGTACGACAGCAAAACGCTATGTAAGTGGCTACTTGAAGCACCCGATGGACTCATAGTTAAGGTGACATTTCACGTTTTCCAACTGAAAGGAGGTTACTCTTGCAGAGATAAACTTACATTTTACGATGGGAACGACACCACTTCGAAAATCCTTGGAGCCGCGTACTGTGGCGAGACTCACCCAGATGTAATTTATTCTACTAGACGACACGTATTTGTTGAGTTCAAAACAGATCCTTGCCGACGAAAACGCAAGGGGTTTAAATTAAGTTTTTTAGCCGTTAATAAAGGTGAGTAATAACAGTAGATTGCCTTACTTCTTTCGTGCAATCGCTTTGTGGAACCCATCCAGGATGTTTCGTGCAAAAGCAATGTCATCTCATTTCGGCGAAATTTCCGAATCCCGGCGTTTTTCGACAAGCCTAAAAATCAGTTTTGTTCACTTCGAAAATTCGAGGATATTAACCTTTAATTATCGGAATGCTTATGGACAAGTCGTCGGAAGTGCGGGGATGTTCCCTGAAATTTCACAATCACATTAGAAACGAATTTTATTCAAAACGGTTAAGTCCTCGCATTTTCTCTGTATTGTTAGATGTGCATCGAGCAATAACTATGTCCTCTGTTACTCAAAGCGAACAGTTTTCTGTTGGCGAAGCTTGAGGAAAATGCCACTATATGTCTGGTACATAAAGCAAAACTCGTTTGCGAAATACCAAGGAATTTCCTACCTGTGGCTTCTATCTTCTTGGTATTCCGACTCCCCTTAAGGCTCATGAACTTTTCGAGGATAAGCCACTCGAAAGCGTTGCGCTGCGTTGTCCATGCGTATTGCCACTGTTGTCCTCCAGTCACAGTTTGGTGCAATTTTTGCATTTGCTGAAAGGTGAGCGGTGATAGTTTTTATGTCACCTCATTGAGCTCTTTCTTGAATTTGCAGAGGAATCAGCTGCAATATGTCGCTCATCAAGTGATAAAGTCCTTCACCTCACTGGGTCCTCTGGTACTTTCTTCACTCCTTATTACCCAGCTCCTTACGCAACAAACTGGACATGCATTTGGCTAATTTCTGTTCCAGCTGGCAAACGAGTGAAGCTTATCTTTCAATATTTCGACATTAATGTTTATGGCACCTTTCAGATACGCGATGGTAAAAATCCTCAAAGCCCTGAGCTACGCCGTCTGTACGGAGAAGATGATGTTTATTCTACTCAAAGTTACATGTGGGTGAAGTTTTATTCTGGTGCTCGTAGTTGGTTTTATAAGTCGAGAGGTTTCAAAGCACGCTTCGAGGCTCTAGATCCTCGTGAGTATCCATTCCTTTACAATACTTTGCTTCTTTAGACCTAACTGCAGAGGTGAATGTAATTATTCCGGACTAACTTACAATATGTACACCTCCCTATTTCTGGAGACGCCGTGGCCAAGTTGATCATGAGAGCGCTGAACTGCAAGTCGAGAAGTCTGGGTTCGAGACCTGATCGGGTCAACGTGTTTCGTTCTTGAACAAGCCACTTTACTCTCACGGTGCCTTTCTCCACCCAGTAGTGTAAACGTGTACCGGTGAATTGTCAGGGTCAGTGACCTTGCGATGGCCTAGCATCCCATCCGGGGGAGGAGGGGGGGCTGCAGTGATGCTCCTGGTCGCCTCAAGCTCCGGCAGGGTGGGACACTTGGCTTGTATGCATCCTCGACCCAACCTTTCTACCCCACTATTTTGGCGATATTGGCAAATAAACATCATTTATCGAAACCTTACAATTGTAGTCAGAAACACTAGTAACAGCGGTTGTGCGATTAGATCATGCGCATTGAACTCATTCCATTTCTTTTCTTTTTTTTTTCTTTTTTCGAGATTCTGAAGCGCGGGAAAACTCGTGTGACCAAGTCGCATTTGGTTTTAGTTTTGAATTTGATTGGTTGAGAAAGTGGCGGGAGATTTCTGGACCAATCACAGAGCGAAGTAAAGCAAAACCAAAGCTATCCCGAATTACTTTCCACACACTTGAAAATGTCTCTAAGGATGTGTTCAAAATTTGAGGAAACACATACTTTTGTAGATTTATTTTTTAAGGGAAGAGACAACACCTTGAGCGTCATTCAAACAACGCGAAAACAATTTAATGTCACCTTTTAAGGTGTTACGCATTGAAGTGGTGCATGACGTATAACTAGAAATCAGTTCCTTTTTATCTTTTTCATCTTCATCTTTAATTAATTTATTCACACATTAGTTTGTTAATTTAATAATTTTTCCTTTTACATAGCCGGAAATCCCAAGAAATTTTGTTATCCTGGAAACATTTACAACAACAACCTAAAACTAAATGGGTCGTTTGGAACTCTGGGAAGCCCAGACGAACGTTACTATCCACATTTTAGTTGTACATGGCTTATCACTGTGCTGGAAGGAGAGATTATCGAGCTGAGGTTTCAAAACTTTCATATACCCAAGGGTTCCTCCTCAAAGTGTACACCAGATTATGTGGAAGTCCTTGATGGGAAGCACAGCTCTAGTAAAAGTAACGGAAGATTGTGTGGGTACGACACACCAGAACGAATTCGCTCGAGCGGTCGATACATGACGGTTCGTTTCAGATCTGGTGAAACCATGTCAGCGTACAGTGGGTTTGACGCTACATTCGAAGCTCAGAATGTGCCAGGTGGGTCGGAGAGTAGTAGGGTTTAATGGGATGAGTCGGAGGCTAGCAGGAGTGGAGGAATGAGTCGAAGATTAGATGGGTTGCAGGGACAGGTCAGAGATTAGCAGTTTTGGTGGAACGAGTCGGAGATGAGCGGGGTTGGTTGGACGAGTCGGAGATAAACAGGATTGAGGAATTGAGACGTAGATTAGCTGGAGGGAGGGAATGAAGAAACTCTTTTGCTTTTTTTTTTTCTTTTGTTTTATGCTTCTAGATTTTTTATTGTATTTTCCTGCTTGTTCGCCCATTGTGGACACCTGTCCTCTTGGTGTCCGCTTTTTCCGGATTTCCCTTTAACATGTTTTCTTACTTTGTCATCAATGTAGTTGAACCTGCTGCATCTTCTACTTCCAAAGAAGTTTGTTTGCCAGGGAATCCCAACAATGAGAACCTGATGTTGACTGGCACCGAGGGGACATTACAAACTCCCCTGGAGTTTTACCCCACGGATTTGGTCTGTGTTTGGCTTATCATTGTACCGAAAGGAAAAAGAGTAGAACTCAACTTTGAGAGATTTGATATAAGTCCAATAGGATGCTTTGATCATGTGCAGATCTTTGATGGAGAGACTGACCAGAGCCCCAGTTTAGAACAATACTGTGGAGATTCGGTTTTACAGGAGGTTCGGTCAACTGGTCGGCATATGTTGGTCAGATTCTACTCAGACTCTGAGTCTGGTGAACTACATACTGGATTCAAGGCTTCTTTTAAAGCTATAAGCGGTAAGTTGTGACTTGCAAGGCACATGCGGTTGAATTTTTTAGTTAACTTCGTCGAATTTTTAAGTCATGGATTATCTGGCAGTCTTGTCCTCGGACTTTTAGTCGAGCATGAGAAGCGTGAGTTAATGAAGGTATTGGGGGGATACTTTTCTTCATCTTCTTCTTTACGCATTTTGAACTAACCGAACTAACAGCATTTTGAACTAACCATTGAGCTAACCGCCTTCCGGTTAGCTCAATGGATATAGCGCTGGACTGTTGTGCTGGAGGTCGTTCCACTCAGGGTCTTAAAATAATTGAGAAGAATTTGCTACCTTTCTGTAACATGAAGAAATGGTTAGATATTCTAGTATTCTCGGATAGGGGCGAATAAATGGAGGCCCCGTCTCCTGCAGGGTTAGGGGTAGGAGACATTAATTTCCCACACACGAGATTACTGCGTGATGAATGTCCTCTCCTGGGTGGAATGGGTGAGTTTACTGGGCCCGCAGTGATTGGCGCAAGCTGTTGCGGTGTCCCTGCCTTTCGGCGAATCTTATAAATCAAATAAAATCGAATAGAATGCTGAGTCGTGTTTGAATTGAAGCGGACCCTTGCCTCTTCACGGCGACGCCGTGGTCAACTTCGGTTAAAAAATGGACTCGTATTTTGCTTACGAATCTCGCGAGTCATTTAGTATTCTTTTTTCACTGTCAAAACTCTCTCGAAAACAATTCTTTTCCTAATTTAACACTGGAACACACACTGTTAAATTAGAAAAAGAAGTTAAAAAATTTAGCCGTTGTCGTTCATGTTCTCCACACAACGTAAAGTTTGATCATTTCACGTTAATGTTTGGCATACGGGACGCAAAGAAACTTACAAACATTTATGTATGTATGTATACATATATATATATATATATTTATAACTATATATATATAAAGACTAGCAAAAACTAACGATAAAAACCGACGTTTCGGTGTCATCATGACGCCATTGTCAAGGAGAAATAAAAATGAAGTTTGTGGCAAGGTGTAACACTAAATTAGCATAAATATGTTACGAGCTACTTAAACAAATACTTTTGCGCGAATTGAATCGCTTTGCACGTTCAGAGTGGGTTTTAAGTCTCTGATGAAAAGCATTTCGTTCACCAAACAATCGAACTTGTTACTACACTTTTTTTAGAATGCTAAAACGTTTCAGTAGGTCTTTCGGGACTTCGCTGTGTCGTTCGTGGTAGTGTTTATATATTGAAGATGCCTTTCGTTTATGTCCATCCACGCGTGTGTGTAAGTGTCCGCGTGTATAGCCCACATAACCCGCATCACACAGGTCACATTGAAATTGATAAACGACGCGTTGTTGGTTGACAATCTGTGGCTTGATTTCTCGTACTTTAAGATCTTGGCCAACTTTGCGGCTAACAAATACTGGCTGGACAGTTGTCTGCACCTTCATGCTAAGATTCTTGAGCTCTTTCTTAACATAATTTGCTGATTCCTGATCTTTGAAAGGTATGACCACACGAACAATGGATATTGGTTCTTTGGGCGTCTGTGTGGGCTGCGTACCAACAATTCTTGATTGTAAGAAGGTGTTAATGGTAGAATTTACCAGGCGTTCCGGGTATTTAAGCCGTGCGAAAACTTTCTTTAGGCGATCACACTCATCAGAGAAATGGGCCCAGGAGGAAGATAATCGGTGTGCGCGATCCAGCATAGTTTTCAGCAAGCTCCGTTTGTAGCGATTGTCTACATGGCTTTGGTAGTGTAATAGTAGGCCCGTGTTTGTTGGTTTCACATATACCTTGGTTTCAATCCGAGGTGCATGGTTGAGTAGTTCGGTGCCAAGGAAAGGAAGCTTGCTGTTCTTCTCCACCTCCATGGTGAATTTGACCGAAGTGTGGGCGCTGTTGAGGGTATGCAAGAAGGTAGTTGCTGTTGCTAGATCAGGCATTACAGTGAGTGTATCATCAACATATCGACGATAATAGGATGGGAGTTTTCTTTGTCGCTCAAGGGTATCTTCGATGGATGACATGAAGACGTTTGCTAATAAGGGCCCGAGAGGGGACCCCATAGCAACGCCATCTGTCTGTTCGTATAGAGCTCCGTTAAATTGAAATAGTTGGCCTTTGGTGGCTACGTTTAGGAGGTCAATAAGATCTGTTCTGGTAAGGGCAAGATTGTGGGTAGTATTGAACCAATTGTTCGAAAAGGCTCTGTTAACCAAGATCTCTATTGTTTCGTCCAAAGGCACGTTTGTGAATAACGAGGAGACATCATACGAAACCAAGATTTCACCCTTGTTGATCTTCAGCTCGTGAATCTCTTTTGTGAAATCAAAATTATCAGTAACTGTATACTGATTAAGGGACAAGGGCTTCAATTTCTCGTCGAGCCATTTAGCAAGGGGAAAGTTGTACGTGTCGGTGGCTGATAATATAGGCCTCATAGCCAATGGTTCTTTGTGGGTTTTTGGCAACCCATATAAATGTGCCAATCTGGAACCTGTAGGGCTCACGGAATCTGCAATGGTCTTCGGTAGAATTCTACGAACAATGGAATCTAGGATCTTCTCTTTTTGTAGTAGGGGGTGGTAATATTTGGATGGTCTGCCCCTGGTCTTGGGTTTCTCCAGGGGAACGGCACGGAACTTGCTTGTATCATTGACTGAGGCTTCAGAAAGTAATCGCAAGTATTCGGTTTTGTCTAGAACCACAACACCAGACCCTTTGTCGGGTTTCGTGATAACTATGTCGTCGCGTCCTTTTAACTCCTCTATAGCTCTCAACAATGTCTTTGGAGGTTTCGGACTCTTGCGTTCGATNTCGTTACCCCCACCGACGCAGCCCCAAACAGTTTCTTTAGAAACTATCAGCCTTTATCCTTGTAAATAGGCTTCGAGAATTTGGTGTTAGACCATTATAACGACTTCCACCTGGTAAGCTTGAGTATTCTCATTACTTGCTTGTTGTATAATTCATGGATTTTACAGGGAGAAGTTACATGATAATCACTTGTGGAAAATGAAAGGGTTCAGAGCACATGGTAAAATCCATGCCCGTTTTGTGACCCTTGAATGGCGTGACCGTGATTAACTCGTGCCCAAGTCTTTCTCTACCATCGACCTCGTCAACCGCAATGAAACTGCAACCTGCTTCAAAAGCAACTTTGGTGTAATCACTTTGTGAATCTTGGTCGCCACGTCCTGAAACTTCAGTGAAATGGCTGATGAAAAAATGTGACTCGCCGTAGCATAAAGTTATGTATTAAGAAGGTTGTGTGAATTTTGGTAACACTGTGCGGAAATCATTGACAAGTTTAACTCCGTCCAACAACAGAAATCATGCAATCATTAGCATCAGTGGGTAAGTGACTGTGAATTTAACTTTACATTTAATACTGATTAGCCATCTAACGTTAGATCAGTCAATAGTATTGTCCAGATTTTACTCATATGTGAAATATTCTACTTGGTAATTAATATGTGCCGTTAAACTTTCAAAGTTTTGAAATCGCGACAGACTTTTATAGAAAAGGAGGTTAGAAGAGCAACTAATGAGTTATTAATCTTTTCCCTGAAACGAAATTTCATAAGATAACTGAACTTCATTATTAATTGCATCTGAGATGTTGCGAAACTATTCCGGGTATTAATGGAAAGAAATATCACATGCAGCTGCATTGTAATGCTGAACTTATTGCCTACGGCGGACAGGATCAGTCGTGATTTCCTCAGTATTTTATTTTATCTTCATTGTGTTGAATTCAATTTAGCTCAATAATAGTGCAATTTATCGAATGCACCACAGATGTTCCGAACTATCGCGCGTATGGGGTGATGTGAAACTGTTTTTCATATAATATTATTTTGTGATTTTTGGATGAGCAACATGGCCTCTAACAGGTGCCGTGTCAGTCAATATAGCTTTTATTCGCTTTTCATTTTAGGTTAGATCCAATTATAACTCAATACTAAACCTTAAAATCAAATGCACACAGAGAAGCAGTTATGCAGTTATTTTCAATCCGGCCCCTCGGCCTGACTTGTTTACATCACGTACCAACAATTAAAATTTATTGCCTTCCCGAAAGAAATACCTCATTAGTCTTTCACGCGTGTGGGTGAAAGGGAAATGTTCGGAGTCCTGTTAAGAAATTCGTATTAAACCTCAAATAAATTACAATCTCTTTTGTGTGAGAGTTACTTCGGGCTTCTCGCACATCACGGTGACTAACAAAACCATTACTTACTGATTATAATTAAAATACTACGAACAAAGGAAATGATCAAGCTACACCTCAACACCCACGAATCATTCATGCATAAATGTTTGATAGCGATGTATTTCAACAAAAATTCTGATCTCTTTGTTTATCTTTTTTATA